TGGTCTGTAATTCTGCATTTCATCCTGAACTAAATTTGTTCGTTTTAGCTGAGGTCTCACCACAGCATGTTTAAACTCTAGTGGACATATTCCACTAGACAAACTTTTGTAAACTCAGTGATACGCAATCAAAGGTCTGCTTTAACAAACGACTAAAAGTCTTAAAAAGGATTGCCATATGATCAGAGAAATTAGTTTCACAAACAGTTACGTCATCAACTTGCAAATTATGGGTTAAGATCAGATCTAACATATGGCCTAATTTGTGGGTGGGGCTTTTCACCCATTGCTGCAAATCGAATGACTCAATCAAATTTATAAATTCACTTGAAAGCATGTCATTGCCACAACAAATATGGACATTATAATCACCCAATATTAAAAAGCGATCATATTTTGTGTACATTTCGCTCAAAAAATCGGAAAATTCCCGAACAAAAACTCTATTTGGTTTCGGAGGCCGATACACTAAAGCGACTGTAATAGGGTTTGTAGCTGCAATTTGAAACCGTTGCAGTTCAAAACTCTGTGGTGGTTCAACCGAGAGCAGCTGGCATTGAAGAGTTTTTTTGTATATAGTCATTAGTCCTCCCCCGCGACCCGACGGGCGAGGTGAATTAATGCAAACGTATCCCTCAGGCAAGAGTTCAGATAGCGGCGATGAGTCTCCTACCTTTAGCCAGGTTTCAGATATGAAGAGAAAGTCCAGTTCATTTGTCATAATGAAATAATTCAAAATAAAAGTTTTGTTTACCACCGAGCGGGCATTTGTCAGGGCCAGCTTGATTGGTATTAAATCCTTAACAGGGGATTTCTCACGACGCAAGCTGCGGAGATTCTTGAGATCCACACCTCTCCCCTGGAAGCGTCGTGGAGGGAACCTTCATGGAACCCCAAGAGAGCTCAATCCCACCGGCTGAATCCAGCCGCACGGCCCCTCCGAGAAACGCCGTGAAACAAACCGGTCATAAACACCGGCCTGCGGGAGCGACGAAAGCCAACCTGTGGGCTTACGATTTAATGTCCGCAGCGTCTTTAATTTGACGGCGATGCCTCCACGACATCCTCTTTTCCTGCAGCGCTTTCTGCGTGGCGCATCATATGCCAGGCGTCATAGATAGTTGGGAACACTAGCCAGGAAGGGAGGAGGACCGCGGCCCTCTCCTATACAATCTGCCGTCAGCGACTCATCCACAGTTAATTTGATGGACAATAGCTAATCCCGGTCATAAGTTAGAAGTGCCCAGATTTGTCTGGTTAAAAAAGTCAAACATAATAAAAACAACAAACAAACACCTGCCCCAGACAGACGGCCAGCCACACACATCGGCGCCATCTTGAAAGGAAGTCCTGATTTTGACAGGTTGCCGTGAATACCTTTACATTTCTGTGTGTATATGATATGAGGATAGTTTTACTCAAATTAAACGGTAAAATGCTCATGAAGTGACTCTCAGAGAAGTTCTGGAGATGTTCATGTATTTATGTCCTCATTAATGAGACGGCAGACGCTGAAATCATCGGAAGCATTACGCGCGCTTCAATACGAGTAGTACACAAAACCACGTGTCTGCGCCATTCATTAACACAGAGACACGCAGAATTCAGCGTTTCTGCGTTTAAATTATATTAAGCCTTAAAGCTCTGCATAATTAAGAGGGTGGCCACATGAGTGACAGGTGGATTACCGCTGCTGTTACCACTGTCGAGTTAGGTGGGCGTGGTTTTAGCAACCAGCTCCACCCACATCTCGTCTCTTTGCCTTTTTTCGATTATCTGGGAGTAATGAGCGGTGACACACTGCCATGATGGTGACAGCCAGCTCCGCCCACTTTGGGCTTCAAAATTGCTCTTCAGAAACCTACGGGTGACTTCATGGACACTATTCATGTTTTTTTTTAATTTTTTTTACAGTATATGTATATGACTGATTATGTTTGGCTGTGATCAGTTCATGAGATAAATCCCGCCTCTTGAGTTCTTGCGCGTTCATGAATCAGTCTGAATGAACAATATAATGGCGTTAATGGGAAGACTAATTTAAAAAAGTAAGTAACCAACTCACACATTTAGATATAACCACTTTGTTATGTCAAAATAAGACTTAAAATGGCATGAAAACATGAGCTGTGGGAGTTTTTAGTGAGTAATCAGCTTGGTAAAAATTTAAGTAAAATTGTAAGCACGCTAAGTGTCTGTGACCAATATTTACTGAGCTTTGATGACTGATGATCCAAAAAAATTCAAAAATAGTTAAAAGTTAACTATTAAAAAAAAATAGCTGAACATAAGTTCACAAATAAAATATATTGTTTAAATGATTACTGCCTTGAGTTATTATTTTGGAATAAATGTAAAATTCTTAAAAACAGCAAGATGACTTAGTGATTAATAGGCTACTTGTCTTTAATAAATAGAATATTGATTACATTATTAATGTAAAAATATAAAATAGAATAGTTTTTTTTTCTTTTTCTGATAAGTAATGTTTATCTAACCAAGAAAATGTGAATGGGACATGAATTTACATTTGATAAAAAAAAAAAAAGGACTATGCCTCCTCATTTCAGAACAGCACCACACACCACTGCTCTGTAGGGTAACATTCCCAGAACGTTCTGGGAACCAAAAATGGTTAGCAGGAATGTTGTTCATTTAGTTGTTAATCAGAGTCATTCTCAATAAGGAGAGAAAGGGGTGTCACAAAATCAAACGAACAGGATTGTGGGATATCGTAGGCAGTGACAGATACATCTATGCTTTCTTCAAAAATCGATCGGGTGTGCATTTCCCATAAGCATAGTTAGTTAGCTAGCTATGGATCCAAGTTCCGCTGAACTCTATTGGTAACAACAGAACTTGCGACCATATTGCCTTTGGGAAGCGCAGCCCAGATGAAGGTATCTAATTAGAAAGAATGTTTCACAATGATTGGATTTGGATGTGCCTTAAGCCAATTGTTGCCTCCAGAGGCAGTAGATGTTTTGAAACGAATGGATTGAGTGAAGAATTTAGTCATTCACTAATACCACACTCACTTGTTGCCACCTACTGGTGTAACCTTAACCTGCAGGAAAATACAAATCTTTTTGGAGAAGCGGATAGTCACTATTATTCTAGTCATCAGAATTAACACCACTCTCAATCAACACACAAACATAGTTGGAAACTCAATTAGTTGAAGGCATTTTTCTGTTTGCTAATGATGATAATATTGTTTGCATCGCAAATTGCATTGATTTCATTGGATAACCAAGTTACGAACCCTAAGGCCCTCATATTTCTTTTGTGTTGTATCTGGTAACCGGGAGTAGTAATGCAGTGCTTTCCGCAGCAACAATTGTCCTTTCTAGTGTAAACAAACACTGTTCAGCCCATCATCCGCAGGGAAAGCAACATCACACCAGTAAATCACTACGAACGAACCGCATCATTGAATTAATCTCATTGAAATACAATTATTTTTTAATTACACTATTCCTGTTTTACTTAACAAAACCGCTTCTGTGACAGACGATGATTACATTACATAGCGCGTAAAACGATCTCTTCTGTCATATCTCTCACCTGTTCGTATGCTGCAGTTTCCAGAGAGCTAACGGTCCGCCCGGTGTGTGTCTGGATCCACCATCTTCATCGCCCGCCTGTCTTTCACTCAGTCTGTGGGCAAGCCCGACTCCTCCCATCAGAGACCTGCTAATCAAACACCACGGAAGGCTGCCTAATTTCTCAATGAACGAGCTGCAGCTCTCGGCAAAACTGTGCTGTACGTGTACATGAAATGCGTTGAGTTACTAGTTAGAAATAACTTAAAGAACCGAATCGGTATAAGCCCTTTGGATGCCATGAAATTAAACTGGTTGCAAAATGACTGTCGAGCCCTCCGACTAAAGAAAGCTACAGAATAAATTGAGGAAGCAAACACTATTTAGCCTACTACAGATAATTTTTCTCAACTTCTTATTGCCGTCAGTTAAATTATAGCCTACTACCGTTCAAAAGTTTCTAATTCTTTTGTCAAGCAAGAATGCATTAATTTAATCAGAACTATGAAGACTTTTACATAGGAACATACATTTGTGTTCGTTTGATCTTTCGTTCAAATAATTCTGAAAAATGTGTCACTGTTTCCACAAAAATACTGAGCAGCTCAACTGTTTTCAGCATTGATAACTGAAAATGTTCCAAAGCATCAAATCAACATTAGAATGATTCCTGAAGGATCATGTGACACTGAAGACTGGAGTAATAACTGCTTAAATCCAGCTTTGCTTTGATAGGTATAAACCACATTTTAAAACAAATAGGAAACTTTATTTTTTTTAGTGTAGCCCTAATCTTTAACAAATTCGTTTTTACTGTATTTTTTTAACAATTAAATGCAGCCTTGATGAACACAAGTCTTTGTTCCAAAACACTACAAAAAAAAAAAAAAAACTTACCAACCCTAAATTTGTGAACATTATGTGCTCTTTAGACCCATGACTGATGCTGTTCTTGTAAATTGTTTCCATAATCCTGTGTAATCGAATAAACACATATGACATGATTTAAAAAAAAAAAAAAAAAACTTAATAAAATGGTCCTGAATGCAAAATAATAGGAAATAAAAATGTGAGATGGACCTTTTCAGAGTAGCTTTATTTAATGTGGTAGGGAACTGACAAAACAACTATGGTCAATACAGTTTTTAATACAAATAAATATAAAATACATAACGGATGTGATGCTATAAATGTTGGTTATTGTGGCTGTAAAAACCTACAGTACCTTATCAGCTTATCAGACAATACATAAAGAAAATACAAAATCTTAGGCTACATTTGTTCTTTCTAAAGCTAAATGAACTCTGTCCTGCTTCTACATAGATGTACTAGTAATTTAAAACCTGTTTATGCTTTAGTGTAACTGCTGTTACATTTTTGGTATTCACACAGGAAATGACATTACAACAATGGAAAATGACATGACATAACTGGAAATACTATGTGCTTCCTCAGTGTAATTCACATTAATGTACACATTTAAAAACCTCTAAGGTAATGCAGGACTATTTGTGAACTGCTTAGGAAATGAATAATGTGAATAGGAAGCCCTGAACAGATATAAAGACAAAAATATTGTAATTTGTAAGTTTTCAACAATATAACTGATAAGACTGTCCATTAAGGGTTTAAGTTAGGCAATACATTTACCACCTATAGCATTAATACAACGAGCTAACTGTTTAGGGAGCCAAAAAGCAATGCAATGTTTTCGGTCTCTGCATGTATGGGTCATGAAATCAAAAAATTATAATAAAATGTAGTCAAATACAATGACAATGTGACCTTGATCCCAATACAACAGTACACACATAATGTACATGCAAAAAGATAACTATTCAGATCAGATTGACCAAATCAGAGTGACAAAATATAAAGGCATTTGTTGCAGATCCATTCCAGTTTTAGACCATTCTTCCATACAGGACTCTATTAGCAGTTGTTTATTTAACAGCAGGTGTAAGGGGGGAGATGCTGAAGCTAAAACCTTATAATATTATCAGATAAAACAAGCACCTATGCACACACCTGTACTTATAAAGAGTGAAAAATGATCAAACGCTGTCAGTGCAGTTGCTAAACATTGCGTTATACAGAGGAATGGTGTGGAGGAAAAGCTGGCTTTATTCTTGAGGGGAACCTTTCAGAATTCCGTGACAGACATCCGGTAATTTTGCTACTGCAGCTCAAAGAAAAATAAAAATGTCAGGTTCCAAGACATGCAGAAAACCACACTGACATGGCCCTTTATAAAGTCTGAGTCAGTCTAGAAGTTACATAACTCAACTACTTTCATAAATCTAGTTCTTGTGCAACTGTGCGCAAAAAAAAAAAAAAAAAGAACAGTAGTAGACTTATGAAGTGAAACTTAAGATCGAACTGTGCAAGTCTTATAGATATGCTGAAAGACATGATTCATATAAGCTTTCCTAGAATGTTAAAATGACTTCACCTAACTAGAATAGTTTTTGCATATGTAGAATGGACATTGTCCTTGATTTAAGAGCGAGATGTAATAAAATCTAATCAGATTTTCACAACCTACTCTAAGCTGTGAATGAATTAAGTTGTCAATACACGACTGAGCCTGTGAAACTTCAAAGTTTATTACAAGTTGAATAATTACTGAGTAACAGTGAGTCAACCATAACCGTCTAATAGCTTATTAGCTTTAATAAATCACATAAGTGAAGCTAACAACAATTCACTTTTCATATTTGCATAAATATACTTTAAGTTCAAAATAGTGTTAAACAAAAAGCAGCATTTGTAAACCCAGGCCCCTCAGGGGTCCACCACCAGATGGGCTTGAACGTGGCAGCATGTTATTTCTGCAGCCACGCTTGGGCCAAGCTGAGAAAAGCCTATTCCTGCTTCTGCAATTCCCTTTCATCATGAAAACCCATGCATCTGAGACCACCTGGATGAACTAGAACCCAAAACTAGTGCTTAAATGCTGAGGCTAGTCCATGTGACAACGTGGCCTTTGTTATTCTAATGAGTGATGATGATGAGCTTTAGGAACATTTATTCTCAAACGCCCAAGAATCATCTGCATGAACTGAAGAAATGCTGACCCTGCAACAGATATGTCATATAATACAAATACTCACCTGAATGAGGACAGCACCTAGAAACGGTCAATTTCATGTGCAGTTATCAGTTTATTTATTTAAGATTATTAAAACTCATGAAAATGTCTGTCTTTAGCCCTAATATTTCATATCAAATGCCTCCAGGAAACTTTAAATTCAATGATTGTGCTCACGTTACTGATTGTAGCAAAACTTCTAGATATTCATTGAAAAAATTTTCATGCTTTAGTACAAAAGTCCAAAGAGGAGCAGTAGATGGAATTCAGAGCCAGTCTGCCCTCAATTAAACAAAGAGGGAAACTGGGTCAGAATCACTTTGGGCTCTAAGTGTTCCCTTCAAGTGTGCACCACAGTGTGCGTTTAAGATTCCCGTCAGGAATCATAAAACTGCAGACAGCATGAGGAGAGCATACTATTATTGATTTGTGGTGGAAGTCTTTAAACAACATAAAAACCAACCAAACTATATGAAAAAAAAAAAATACAAACTTGTAGCTTCTGATAGAGAAAAGGATTGTACACTGATAACAGACCTGAGATATCCAGTACCTGAACTAAAGCAGCTGAAACAGACCTGGCTTAGACTGTGTAGACGGGTCATGGGTTTTCATCATGAGCGGGAATTTGCTCCGGCAGAGCATCTCTGACAAACCGGCCAAGAAGTCCAGCCGTTTTCAGAGAAGTGGGTGTGGGCGGTTGGAGCCAGAAATAAGTTGACCGATCACAGCTCTCCCACATCATGGTGGGTGGAGTGTTTCTCACGCTACTGACCTATAACTGAGTCCAGCCACTTCCTGTAGGCAATGGCAAAGCAGCTTTGCTCGGGGCTCCGGCAGCCTGTGAGGATACTAGAGACAAACGTGTGCTCGGAGGGAAGTCCGGGGTGGGGAAGCCGGGGTCCCCGCTTTAGTCGCTTGGTGTCCTGCGTGTAGCTTCCATGTTTGCTCCCATCCAGAACACAGTCAACGTCCATGGCCTGGGAAGCACTGGCTTCATCACAGGGCTCCTCGCTGAGGAGGACATCAATGTGGGTGAGAGGTGGAGATTGTGACCCTGCCTCCTGGAGGTGCTCCCTCCGCCACTGGTGCCACAGGTAGAAGACATGTCGCCTGTTGGAGAAGCCTGGATATGAATTTGTTCAATGTTGAAATACAATTGACTATAAAATACAATGCACTAGTGTTGTCAAAAGTACCGACTTCGGTACCAGCCAGTGCTGAAATGTAAAAAATATGACGATACCAGAATTTCCCATGAACATTTTGAGCGCTGCTGAGCGGATTCTTAACATACACACAGGAGCGTTTGACAGCAGCGTCTATCAGACGATTCGTCTATGAGCAGATATGTCAGGGATTCACTGACAGAGCCACTGAAAGATGCGACTTTCAAACACCCCACGTAGATCTGTGTAAGCGCTTGGTGAAGAGAGTGAGGCGATGATCATTGTAACCAATCACAGACATATCTGTTGAGCGTGTGATCACAATGGCCAGTCAGAGGTGTTTAAGAATACGCTCAAAATGCTTGCGAGAAATGCTGGTATCATCATTTTTTACATTTCAGTTCCGACTGGTACCAAAGTTGGTACTTTTGACAACACTAAAATGCACTTTACATTATTATTTAAGTCTGGATTCAGGTCTGATATGATTAGTCACAGGGAAAATACAAAAATGCTCAACATCAGAATAGCAAAATTAGCCTAATAGACTTACTAACTATTAAAAGACACGCCCTCATCTTCGAAAACCACAAAAAACACTATCCAAAATAAAAGAAAATACATCATAAACTATATTACATTCAGAATTACTTGCTAATTAATTACTAATATCTCATTGATTATGCACTTGGCTGTCTCATAGATTGTGTCATCATTTACTCACCCTCATGTAGTTCCAAAACTGCTTGACTTCCACGGAACAGGATTTACCATAGTAAAATGTGCTACTTGCCCTTTACCATGCAATTACAATGAACCCACATTTTAAAAAGCTTTCAAATGCACCATAAATGTATCCTAAAAGTACGGTGGCCGAGAAGTGCAAAACAAATCACAATTCTGAAAACAAAATAACAAATTACAAACGCAAATGCAAGACTAAAAAACAAAATAACAATTCAGAAAACACAACAACAATTCAGAAAACAATATAACAAGTCAGAAAACACAATGACAAAT